GGTTGATCGACTGTATTATATAGTTAAGCTATTCAAAAAAATCGAGGATTTTGATGAAGGTGTTATGTAGTACCATAATCTAATCTTCATATAGATATATTCTTAAAGAGATTTATGTAAATTCTTCGTTTATTTGATGATTAATATAATTTTATTTATCCTAAAATAAGAAAATACAATGAAAAAAAATTGATTAACAACTGTTTCTAAATTGTGGCACTAAAGATGGGTTAACCAAATTATCTTCATGATATCTTCAACTTGGATTGCAATTTGAAGATGCTTCCCAATCCTGAGAATTATCTTTGGCTTGGTATAGTTGCAATGGCCTATATAAAGACTGCAAATCATCACAAAAGTTATATTCTGATAACCAAGCTTACGAAGGCTGATAACTTCTATGCGAAGCGCCTCTAGTTCAGCTTCCATAGAAGATCGAGTGCGAACAATAGTCTTGACCCTTGTAGCACATTTCTCCAAATATTTCTCATATAAATGACCAACCTATTCTAACCATATGAGTACTAAAAATCAAAAATGCATCTACAAAGCAACAAACAAAAAATTAACAGATTGAATGACTTGTTACATAAAAACTGAAATGCTGCTAATAGATTAACCTAAGTTACGACCTGAATGACTTTGCTGTGGTAACACATCTTGTTGGTCACATTCTTGAGCTTCCATCCAAAGCTTTAAATCAAGTAAAGCATTGTTTGTCACTTTAGGTATGATTTATCTTTTGTCTCTAAAAAATATGTCATTCCTGTGTTTCCGGATTTTCCACCCTATCAGATGAAAGAGAGCAAATTAGTCAGAAGATACCTTGTTTAGTGTCATGAAAGATTCAGTTGAGTTGCACATCATGGTTGATCAAAGAGACAACATCAGAACTAATTAGAGGAGTCAGGTCTCATATCTCCTATTGATGCTACAATCAAAAATCATATGATCTATTGATTCCTCCTCCTCTCTACAAATCTGACATTGATTATCTTTCAAAATATTTCTTTACTTTCCTACCAATCTACTATAAAAAAAGGAAGAACACTCTCCATATGGAGGACAAGTGGAGGCCTATCTATTTGACACGTGGCACACTTTTTCTTTTTTTTTAATAATTATTTTTTGTCATATTTAAACCTAGTATTGAAAAACAAAAAAATACATCTCCTCTCGTTTGTAACGCTAGCCGGCCGACGAAAGGTTATGTGCAAAGAAAATTAATTAGTGATCGATTGAAATCTCCGCTTGGCTAGAAGAGAATCTATACACCTCCTCTAAGCTTCCATTATCCTCGCCGAATCCTACCACCATTAAACTCTCTGTAGCTACGATCGCAAAATCGTTTTGCGTTATCCAGACTGAAAATAAGAGTTAGTTAGGAAAATAAGAAACTAACCAACCGGTGAAGAAGATGGAACGAAGGATGAAGGGGAAGTATGTCTCGCCCCGTGATGCCGTTAAGTTGCAGCTTAAGGACGAGATAATCTTTAATTTACACAATCTTTTAGAAAATGTTTGGGTACTCAATGCAGGCCATTGAAAGAAAAGGTGCGGACATGGTTCATCGATATTCGAGCTTACTCTCTAAGGAAATAGGAGATTTATGGGTGGCTAAAATATTATATGGAGGCTATGTTTTTAACTCTCTCAACCGAAGCATACACTGCAGTAGTTTCTTACAACAAGTCTTGTCTGCTTTTGCAGGCCATGTGAGGTTGAAGCAATTCATAGTGAATTAATGAAGGTAATCTTTGTTATCACTTATTAACCTTCGTTAATTAGTTTAATCTTCTTTATCATCCAATA